CGCTGTGTTTGGTTGAGAGGCGGGAAAAATGCCCCCAGCCGCCACTTTAAGAGCAGAGCAGGTATTGCCCTTTGAAGGCAGCCATTTTGAACTCTGCATGGGGTGCCAAGATGCCAGCTCTGTTTCTTTCAGACAGAAACGCTGCCCCTTTAAGAGCAGTGGGTGCGAGAGCCGCAATTTTTTCTTTGAAAAGCCGAATACTGCTCTCGCCACCGCTGTTGTATAACAGTTTGTGTTGCTGCAGTCGAAGAACTAAGGCATTATTTCACTGCCTTATAATTGCTATAGTGAGTGGTGGTTCGTGGTTGGACACTGATTGTTGGCATTGCTTGTAGGAAACGCTGCCCCTTTAAGAGCAGTGGGTGCGAGAGCCGCAATTTTTTCTTTGAAAAGCCGAATACTGCTCTCGCCACCGCTGTTGTATAACAGTTTGTGTTGCTGCAGTCGAAGAACTAAGGCATTATTTCACTGCCTTATAATTGCTATAGTGAGTGGTGGTTCGTGGTTGGACACTGATTGTTGGCATTGCTTGTAGCAGTGCAAAACTTAATTTAGCCAGGAAGTTTTGAGATGATATGGACTTTGAAAGCTAGGTCTCCTTTAAAGTGAATTTGTGATTTATTTTACTTGTGAATATTTGCCTATCCTCAGGGCTTGACAAGTGGCAGTGGGCAGCACCATGCACTGCGGCGCCGTGCTGGCTTAAAATCTACTCGCCCCAGGCGAGTAGGTTGACGAACTTGTCAAGCCCTGCCTATCCTAACAGATTTTTTACATGAAATAAACCAGTTTAAATACATGGCGGTAATTAAAGTACACACACTTGCTTTCTAGGCACCATCGAGCAGAATGCCAGTGGGCAGTGGAGAGAGCAGCCATTATCTGTCAGTGGACATGGTTGCAGGCTCAGATCTCTGACTTGGAGTATCGCATAAGGCAGCAGACAGGTATCTACAGGCAACTACGTGCCACCAAGGTAAGGCCATTCTGTACCTTGAAGAATGTAATCTTTTATATTATGACTAAAATTTTGTAGACAGAGTTGTCAGTCACAATTAACTCAAATTAATTGCACTGTTAAACAAAATACCCACTTCAATGTATTTAAATATATGGTGTTTTTCTCTATTTTCGAAAATATTGATTTATATTACAAGACAGAATACAATGTGTACAGTGCTTACTTAATTTTGATTACAAATATTTGTACTGCAAAATGATTTAAAAAATAAATCATCTTTCAGTTCCCCTCATACAAGTACTGTAGTGCGGTTTTCAACTTTTCGGCCTATGGACCCACCTAGCTCAATGGAAACCTTTCCACAGGAGGACTGAGGTTCAGGGTTTCCTATAGGCCAGATCTACTTTTCTGGGTTTCCGGAGTTAGTGAATTTTATGGACCCCTTTAGGCTCTGGGGTGGGGATAAAAATGAGGGGTTCAGTGTGCAGGAGAGGGCTGCCAGCGAGTGGGATAGGGTGCAGGATCTGGGAAGGAGGTGGGGTGCTGAAGGGGGGAAGTTGCGAGGTCTGGGTGGGAGGTAGGGTGCAGAAACAGACTGGGAGTAGGGTATCTGGCCAGGGGGAGGCAGGAGGAGCAAGCTGGGGGTGTGGGATCTTGACGGGGAGAGGAGTGCGGGGGTCTTGGCATGGGGGGGTGCTTACCTGGCTTTGCACCCCCTTGAAGCAGGGAAAGCCTCTGGACAATGCATCACTGCTCTGCCATCCCCCCAGCAGGGTGAGGAGGAAACTCAGCCTCACCCCACCCCCCAAAGTGGGAAGCTTCGCCTTCTGGCTCATGGAGAGGGGCAGAGCAAGTGGCTCTGTGCGCTGCCACACTCTCTCCACCTCGCTCCCCCACTGGGGGCATGGCAGCGCGTGGAGCCGCTTGCTGTGCCTCTTTCCTAGAGCTGGGGCTGGTGGGAAAATCAGGGTTTTCTTCCCATGCACCCCCTGTGTGCCCTCTGAGCAGGAAGCCGTAGCCTGCACAGTAATTACAAGGCTCGAGCAACAGCGTGGGCTCCCTGCTCTGTGGGTGCAGGGGGGAGGGGGGGTTGGGAGCAGGCTGAGCACAAGCCGAGATTATTTTATTACAAATATCTGCACTGTAAAAATAAACAAAACTAATAGTATTTTTCAAGTAATCTAATACAAATACTTTAGTGCACCTTTGTCTTAAATAGCAACTTACAAATGTAGCTTTTTGTTACATAACTGCCCTCAAAACCAAAACAGTATAAAACTTTAGAGCCTGTAAGTCCCCTCAGTCTGCTTTTCATTCAGCCTACTGGTAAGACAAACAAGTTTGTTTACATTTATGGGAGATAATGCAGCTTGCTTCTTAATTACAATGAACCTGAAAGTGAAAACAGGTGTTCACATGGAACCTTTGTAGCTGGTGTTGCACAGTATTTGTGCCAGATATGTTCCATGTTTATATGCCTCTGTGCTTTGGCCATCATTCCAGAGGATATTCTTCCAGGCTCCTGATGTTCATTAAAATGTGTTAATTATATCTGTGACTTAACTCCTTGGGGGGAGGGCGTAAAGGGGGGGGCAGGGCGAGAATCCTATGTCTCCTGTTCTGTTCTATTTGCATTCTGCCATGTACTTCATGTGATAGCAGTCTTGGATAATGACCAGCACTTACTTATCTTAAAAGTCTTAGAGGAGTAGCCATGTTAGTTTGTAACTTTAAAAACAAGTAGTCCTGTGGCATCATGGTCTCTAACAAATATAAATACATATATATTAGTAAAAGCGACGAGGAGTCCTGTGGCACCTTATAGACTAACTGAAGTGTAGGAGCATAAGCTTTCGTGGGCAAAGACCCACTTCGTCTTTGCCCACGAAAGCTTATGCTCCTACACTTCAGTTAGTCTATAAGGTGCCACAGGACTCCTCGTCGCTTTTGCAGATTCAGACTAACACGGCTACCCCTCTGATATATATTAGTGTGAGCTTTTGTGGGCAAAACCTACTTCTTCAGATGAGTTTGAGAGAAGAAAAAAGGAGGGGACCCTCACAATTTATAACAGAAAAAGAAGGAAGAGGGCAAAGTTACCTGTCAATTGTACTGACAATGCTAATGAGGCTAATTGAGTAGGCTGGAAATGTTCCATTCTTAACTTTTGATGTCATATGCCATCAAGTGCAAGCAATGCCCCTTTGCCATGTATATTGGCCAAACTGGACAGTCTCTAGGACAGAGTTAATGGACACAAACTAGATATTAGAAATGGTAACACAGAAACCTGGAGGGGAACATGTTAACCTTGCTGGGCACTAACTAATGGGTTTAAAAGTAGCCATTCTACAAAGGAATTTCACAAGCCAACTACAGGGAGAGTGAGGCGTTGACTTTCATATGCAAATTTGACTCTGTTTTCCTGGCTTGAATGATGACCCATTATAAAGCCAGCTTTCTTTACATTCAACACCCTCATTGACATCAAAAGCTAAGTATGGGACATTTCCAGCCTACTCAGTTAGCCTTATTAGCACTGTCAGTACAATTGACAGGTACTTCCCCCCTCCCTCCCTTCCTACAAAGGAAGACAAAGTTCTGTCCAAAATTTGAAAGAACTGAGATGTGGAGAATGTTTCAGAAGTCTTAAAAAAGCAATACTGCTGGGAAAGCTACGGAAGCGAACCACCAAATAGAAAATCAACCTTCTGTTGGTGGCATCTGACTCAATCTGTCCATGGGGAGCTTGAGCCACCCACGGACAGGGGCCACTGCCACCCCCTGCTGCTGCCCTGGGACTGTGGCTGGGACTGCACTGGCTGCTGGCCCCACACCAAGGGACTATCGAATAGTCATGCAACCATTAAAATGTGATGAGGTTACATGACTAATTAATTAATTAACCCTAGTTTCTAGTGCCTGACTAACTTTAAAATTTAGTTAAAGCTTAAAAAAGCATACTCTTGCCATTGCGGAGAATCTCTTGTCCATAAAAATTCAAAGTACTTTGCAAACTACAGTGGAGTCTCCTCAGCCCGTGGTGAGATTAGTTCAAACTATGAACCATGGAACCTGAAACTGAATTTTTAGAACAGTTTATAGAAATGTATTTGTTAAATTTATATATTTGTCTTCTGACACCAGATGGTGAGGTAGTTTGATGCAGTTAATTAATTCATATGCCAGCTGGCATCTAAATTAGTATGTACTCACTGCTAAGCATGTGCATTTTCTGAACATTTTCCTCTGAAATTGATAGACATTGTAGTCTGTATTTGCCTAATGCTTTTGGGTGCTTTAATTTTTCATGCAGTGCTGTTTTGAGAGCCTTCATTTCTGACACACCATTAGGTCTCAATTGGCTTTACCAATACTTGCTACTCTTTCCTTGGGAACCATGTTACAGGATGGTATGGATGATTTCACTGTGTAAATCAAACTAATCATATTAACAGTAGACCTGAAACAGAAATATGGGAATGTTTTCTCATTTAGAACAATCATCTTGTTTGGGGATTCTTGTTACTACTGTAATAGAAAGAATTGGCCTGGTTCACATGGCTTACACTGGTCTACAATTTTTTAGAAGTCGTCTGCTTCAGAGATAAAATGTGCTATTTATTATGTATTTTGATGTGCTGGATTCAAATATGACAATTAAAACAACTGATTGGCTACTGTTTCCAAGATATTTAAGTTTTTACATTTTACGTCTATGTATATTGTGTAGATAGTAGAGTTTTAATCATAAATTGTAAACCTAGGTCTTTTTATGGTTGCTTTACATGATATTTCCCCTGTCCTGTTTATGTAACACTTTAAAAATCAGCAAAAGGGTTATATAAATAAAATTTATTATGAAACAAAAGGCAAAAAACTATTATGTACATAGTTTAGTCCTATTCAGTGTCTACTCGGCGCTTCTTGGCTTGTCTCTTGTATTCATTAAATGGAGCATCCCTTGTCACTGTCCAGCAATAGTCTGCAAGCATTGATGGGCTCCATTTGTCCTGATAGCGTTTCTCCATTGTTGCAATGTCCCGGTGAAATCGCTCGCTGTGCTCGTCGTTCACTGCTCCGCAGTTCATGCCGCCATCCATCCATCCAAGGAAAACAGAAAATACTGGACATTTTACATGTCCGGTATTCTCTCTCTTTTTTTTTTTTTTTTTTTTTTAAACCAATAAA